ACAACCATCCTCATCCCAAAAGCAAGTTCCGCCCCAAACCCTAAACCCTGAACCCTATACATCCCTTATAGAACCCTTATAGATCCCTTTAAGGAGCCCCATGAAAGAACCCCGAAGCACTGGACTCATAGGTCGCCCGGTCAGCCGCCCCGAAACCCGCTACAGAAGAACAATGTACTTTAGGGTTGTTAAGGGTTAAGGGTTTAGGGTTTTTGGGTTTTTGAGGGTTTAGGGTTTAGGGATTGAGGAGGGTGCTGAGTTTTGGGGCTGCTTTTGTAAGACCGGGCCCTAAGCAAGCCTAAGCAATAGATTTCAAACCCATCCAGGCCCCTATATGTTTCCCATCAAGCCTAACACGCCTAACACCAATCCAGAAGTAAGCAAGCCCTAGGCCGCCAGTTACCGTAAACAATGGGTTACTGAGCTATAAACTTTTACGATGGCCTAAACCGAAAACCGTCGACACCATAAGCCCTAAACTGTAGAGATTGTTTAAAGGAACTGGAGCCCCAGTAAACCCTAAACCCTGAACCCCAAACCCAAAAGACCGAGAAAGACGAGTGCAGCTGCCTGAACCGAAACCCTAAACCCTGAACCCTAAACCCTCGAAGCCTTAAACCCTCGAAAAGCTAAACCCTCGAAGCCCTAAACCCTAAACCCTGAACCGCCTGGACTCCCAGCTCACCCTCGAAAGCCCGGAGAGGGGAGGCGGTGTAGAGAGACCAGTCCTCGGATCTCACCACTCGGAGATGCAGGGTAGATTAGGGTTTAGGGCTTGGGGTTTAGGGTTTATAGGGATCTATGGCTTAGGGTTTAGGGTGTAGGGGTTTAGGGTTTATGGGGATCTATGGTTTAGGGTTTAGGGTGTAGGGGTTTGGGGTTTAGGGTTCAGGACCGCTAGGGGTATAGGGATCTATGGTTTAGGGTTTAGGGTGTAGGGGTTTTGCGTCTAGGACCTATAGGGTTAGGGATGGTGTCTCACGGCTCTGTGGCGATGAGGCGGGTTTGGGGGGCTCGGAGTTCGTACTTGGAGGTTCATGGTTAGATAGAAGTAAGCTATAACCCAACTTACGGGACTTGTAACCCTACACCCTAAACCCCTAAACCCCTAGACCCTAAACCTCCACTTTCTACTAGCAACGAACCTCTAAGCGCGGGCGTTGAGGCACGGCTCCTTCCCTTTTCGGTTGCCTCTCCGGCTCAGTCCTATAGGGTTTAGGGTAGTCCAGGGCTGAGGGATTACCCATCATAAGGAATATATACCATAATTCGCATAGGTAATGCAGGATTTATATCATCAACGGTATCATAACGCCCCAAACCCCCCAAGAGCCCTAAATACCCTAATTCCCATAATTTAGGGCTCAGGGTAGTCCAGGGGTTCCGGATCTTCGGGAGGGAAGCTCCCGGTTGCTGGGTTCAAGTAGACCTATAGACAGCCGGATGATGAGAAAAACCCTAAACTCTAAACCTATGAAACCCTAAACACCCTAGACACCAAACTCTAAACCCTAAACCCTCAACCCTAAACTCTAAACCCTCAACCCTAAACTCTAAACCCCCGAACCCCTAGAAACACGTTAAAACCTACGGCTCGACACTCTGAAAACGTGTTGAGGGCTTTGGCCGAAACTCCGAGAGGAAGGCCTTGGGGATGGTGAGGGTTTAGGGCGTTTAGGGTTTATAGGGATTTTAGGGTTTGTAGGGTTTATAGGGTTTAGGGGTTTAATTGCTTTTAGGGTTTAGGGTTTAGGGCTTTTAGGGCTTTGGGTTTAGGGCTTTTAGGGCTTTTAAGGTTTAGGGTTTAGGGCTTTCAGGGTTTTAGGGTCTAGGGCTTTTAGGGCTTTCAGGGTTTAGGGCTTTTAGGGCTTTGGGTTTAGGGTTTAAGGTTTTAGGGTATTTAGGGTATTTAGGGTATTTAGGCTGTAGGGCTTTTGGGGCTTTGGGTTTAGGGTTTAAGGTTTTAGGGTATTTAGGGTGTTAAACACCTTTTTCCACCTAGCAATGCAAGTCAGCGCAATCCGCAAATCGCAGAAGGTGTGTAAATAGGCCGGGGTTTAGGGTTTAGGGGTTAGGGTTTAGGGGTTAAGATTTTTGGGTTCAGGGATTAGGAGTTCCGGGCTACTTAGGGCTTTAAGGGGTTAACTTAGGGCTTCGTGTTATAGGTCGTCACAAGAGGCCGGGATTCGCTGAAAGAACGTTTGAGAGCTTTTGGGGGCTGAAGATGCCGGGGAAACTATCGACCCTGAGCCTTCAATCCCCCTGAAACTGTAGCTGTAGCCGAAAAAAACCTACTTTTTAGGATTCCCTATTATGGTCCCTATAAATTTGTTTCCTTAAAAAAGGTCGGTTCTTTCGGCCGCAAGTAAACCCGAGTTTAAGGAATCCATGACTATTATTAGTGTTATTATTATCACTATTGTATGTTATTGTTAGTAGTCTTGTTGATATTGTTATTATTATTTTAGTGCTTAGACCCGTTAGGTGCCGAACCGTAGCCAGGGAACGCCCCAAGCAGAGCCGGTGAGACCATCCTGGAAGAACATACCTGGTGAACACCGAAGCCAGCGATGGGGTTTAGGGTTCCAGGCCAGGGTTTAGGGTTTAGGGTTTAGGGTTATATTATGTCATATTCATTTTTGTTGCAAGCCCCTTTCGGACCCAAAACAGAAACTGCCATAAGGCTCACACAGTCGGAGAGGCTTCAAAATCTAGCAACCTGAACTACTTACCCTTGACTTCATCAATGGCTCCTATGGAATATGCAGACTTAGCCTGAGCTTCATCTTCGAGGGCAAGGGTGTGGCTTGGAGGATCGGAGCTGGCGTGGTGTTCTGTGTAGTGGGCAGGAGTGGAGATGTTGTAAAAATAAGGGGGTACATTAATTTTGGGATCCTTATAATAAGGATCCTACTATATAGCGTAATTTATTAGGGTCCCCTATTTTCGGAGACCCATATTACAGTTCGGAAACTTGCCGATAGCATTGAACGGCGACGGGCAAAATGTGATGTACTCGGATGAACCTGATCTGATATCATATGCTGACCAATACGGTACCAGCGTGTGTGCCTCAAGTAGGTGCCGGCATCTAGTCTTCATCTTGCTCGCACTTGCATCGCATTCCTGGAGCATTTCAAGCATCCTTCTAAAACAAAGGCTTGTCACTTGTCACTGGCCAGTACATCCTAAAGTTACTTATTGTTTGTCCTACATTAGAAACTATATTATATGTTGCATATATCGCCCATGTGCTTGATAGGAGAGCCTCACTGGTCAAAAGACGGACACACCTTTGGCCGTGATAAGCAACGGTAAGTTGTACTAACCAGAAATTCTTGAAACGGACCCGATTTCTTCACCGGACTGCACAAACTAGCCAGCGGCCAAGGCACCGATAATGGCAAACATGGCCAACCTGCCATTGGCCAACTCGGCATTAAGCTTCTTCTTGCGCGCCTGCAAGCATCTTCGGTTTCCAAGGTTGCACGCACAGCCGGAAAAGGGCTCAGCCAGTCCGCAGTCAGGCTTGCAACTCTGACTTGACTGCAGTAGACCAAGCCAGTGCCCTGCACCGCAAAACCGGAACCAAACACTGCTCAAACCATCATGATATAACTATATTTAACAATATCGTCTAGTATAATGTAGGGTAACAAATATATTTTAGTAATATAGTAAGCCATAAGCCATATGGAAAAACAAAAATTATCATGAGCTCTGGGAAGCAGGAGTCCTCTGGGTCCGTGATCCCGGTGTTCATGATGCCGATAGACCTGATAATTTAGGGTCCAAAATGGGGTGTTGGGTTCAGGGTATTATTTTTTGTCCGTGTTACACGGTATGCTTGTATCTGCGCATGTCGCTCGTCTCTGCCATATCACTCACTTTGCTGCCTCTCCCTCTCTCTCTCTGAGTCTGTCTCTCGCTCCATCTGATACACACATACCTGACATAATCTGACATATCTCTGCATGTGCGTATAATTGCATACATGTGTGTACCCGCAACTACTAACCGTAAGCCGTACCCTCCTTGCATACACATCTGCGCGTACAACCTTAAAGCTTGATCTTATGATACATTATATATACGGGCATATGTATCGGCGATCTCCATGTCTTGGGACATTCGCAACTTCTACAAATAGGGAGTACTAGGGGATGCTATCATTGCTTTTCGAGCTCCTACAGTAGATTACCCCGCGTGCCCCGCCTGTCTTAACATGCACGTCGCTAGAATCATGTTCGTCGGCCCCTGAGAATCTTGTCTTATTTCTCTAAGTCAAGTCGTCCTCATCATTGTATTATGGCAGATGCTTCTCTGCTCTGCGTTGCCACTTCCATTCATGTGAAAGGAAAATAATATCTTACTGTCTTGCGCTTCTGAGTTATGATCACGGCGGCTGCAGTTTTGAAAATGTTCAATCTGCTTTCCTTAACACCACTAGTACCAGAGGTGTCGTTTCACTGTGGGAGACACTAGTGCACACGTTCCTTGGATCAAACTTGCCAGGGCAAACGTTGCTTTTGCTCTCTGACCCGTGGGTGCGACTGACGTCCTCTCGGGCACCAGGAAGCTGCTGCTTGGATCTTACTGAAAGATCCGCAAACAGACAATTGCACCGCGAAACCTTCGAGTTACAAAGGTAGTTCAAGGCAACGTATAACGATCGAAAGAACACAATCATCCACCTACCTCACATGGCTTTGCTTCGAGGGAAGTCCTTCAGACTGCCCTCATCCCAGAGAGAGCTATGCCATGGAGTCCGTCGGAGCTTTCAGGCTCCGAAGCTTTCCTGTGCGAGGCGACCTCCTGCTGCTCCTATACTACCCCTGCTCCTATTTCGCGGCTTAGGGTTTAGGGTTTACTACCCCTGCTCCTACTTCGCATCTAAGGACTGGATTTGGTTTGCTCGCCGGTGGCCTCGCAAGGAGATGCAAGGTGGGGGAAAAAAATCATGATTTGCGCAGCCCGCGCTGCATTTGCCCCCTGGGGGCTCAGACCATGAGGGCGCTGGGCCCAGGCATCGGATTGACGATGTTGTCCAAGAAGAAGCCAAGAGATCGCTGGTTGTCCGCGTAGTTCCTCATGTACCTCCACTCAGTGCCGAGCACCTTCGGGAGGAAGCTCGTGAGCGGAAACTTCTTGGCCAAGGATTCGGAGTAGAGGTCGCCGAAGGGGATTTGATGGCCCTTGAGGGCAATCATCGTGTAGCCAACATCCTCCAACGTAAAGGGTTTCGGGCTCCAGCCAAGCGGCAGCTTGCCGTGAAGAAGGAAGCGACGGAGATCACTCTCCGTCATGTACTTCTCCTTCGATCCATCCGGGTAAGGATAGCCGTAGGCCTCCCAGAGGCCCACCCAAGCCAGCCAGGGGCCCCAGTGGTATAGAGCCTCGGCATTCACCTGGCTGATGTGGGGATGGTAGTGCTGCACGTTGCTGCCATCGTACTCAAAGTTCGGCTTCAGCGACCACTCGCCACTGAGGTCACCCTCTACGGTCATTCTTGCCAGCAGAGCTGTGAAGCCCTCAAAGGTCATCACCCGCTCAGTGGCGTTGAGGGTTGTGTTCTTGACCAGCGTAGGCTCAATCCAGTCCTTGTACCTGTTCTCACGTGTTGGGTCCTCTGCATCGTACCTCGGATCTCGAATGGTTGTGGAGTAGCCGTGCTGCACATGCTGCGGGTTCGCATTGCAGGGAAACTTGCTTGGCATGGCAGCATGCCCCGCTGCATCGATGCACTTGTCAGGGACGTTCATCGTCATGATGTTCAGCCAGAGCGTCGACAAATCTTTCTCCAACCCGAAGTCATCGATGACGCCACTGGGGATCAGCCCATAGTCCCAGTGTCGCTTGGTCTGGTGCAGGTCGTCCTCCTTGAAGCGCACCGTGCCAAAGGAGGGAAAGATTGCATTCGGGATTGTAGAGCCAGCCGCCATCATGGCCTCCTTCATATGCTGGGAGTTCACACGGCCATACTCATCCGGCTTCAAGATACCTTCTTGGTAGAGCCCTGCCAGAAAAGGGCATGGGATCCTTTTCGCGTTCTCCTCCCGTTCGGCCTCCGGCACTGGCTCGCCACCCCCCTTGCCATCAGGCTGCGCCGCCAAGGCGCCGGCGGCCAACACCGCCAGAAGACGCACCATAGCTGCCATGAGGCTATGAGGCTATGTCTGGGAGTTGCGATGGAGGCTCTCAATTCGGCTTGAGCCGAAAGGGCACGGGTTGAGGACTTCTTCTTCTGTGAGCGCACAGAAGGGGCCGTGACCTGCAGGGCTTGCAGATCTAGCGGATTCAACGGGTTCTTTTTGGGGGCTCAGGGCCTGCAGGCTTATAGCCCAAAGGCTCCATGTACCCATATAGTATATACTTAGACCCTAAAGTACCTATATAGGAACCCCTTTAAGGCCTATATACATATACTATTATGGGTTACATGGAGCCTTTGGGTAATGGACCTGTCAGGCTTCAAGGCTCTATTCGTTTTTGGGGCTTCGGCCCTGGTAGAATCACTATACCCATAGGCCCCTAAGTAGTTCCTTTTTGTGGTTTAGATTTAGGATCCTAGAAGGTAATCTCATAAAGGAGCTAATTAGGGGCCTATGGGTAGTTCTTGTCGCGTCGCGATGCGACCCGATCTTGTGCACTGGTAGAAGTCCTCGCCCTAGCAGTAGAGGGCGTCGCCGTCGTAGTATAGTCATTCAGGCACAGGTAACTTGTGATGATGGTGGCGGCAGCGGTAGAGTGTAGTCGGCGTAGTCGTAATAATATAAAAATTTCAACTATTCAGAAGTAGAAGGAGGAGGCGGAGGCCGTAGCTTATGGATCCATTCCATTAGGGTATTGTTGTCCAATCAAGCAAGAATCTCCGCAAGCTATGCAACCTGGGCGCCTCAGCCCGAGGAAGCCGGCCCCGTAGTTGCCGGGCTCATTGTTGACCTGCGACTTCGTGTGTTCAATGTCTCGTTTCCTTGGTGTAGTTTTGTGTGTGTGTGTGTGATTGTGTGTGTGTGTTTTTTTTTTT